CTTGAAAAATACATCTTCTGATACGCCTCTTCTGTCACGGCGACTTGAAATAATGTTGATGCTACAGTGGCCCTTTAAACGACTAGGGTTCGGCCGATTCGATGCACCCGCCGTTTACAGACACGCATCCCATCGTCGATCTCGAGGAACGCGCCCTCAATTTTTTTCTTTCAGCTCTCTCATGCTGGAGACCCTCTTCTTGTAGACAAGTCTTTATATAAATCCCGATACAAAAAAGTCGCACATATTTAAGTCGGAGGATTGTGGAGGCCAGTCCATATAGTCTGATCCCCGACCCATCTACCCCCGAGGGAACGTGTTATTGAGCCATGCCCTTATACTCTTTGCGTAATGGGGAGCCACCCCATCCTGCATGAACATAGAGTTTTCTTTGTCATGTGGTACCTTTCAAGCTCACGGAGCATTTCTGCTTTTAGCATGTAGAAGTAGGCATCTGGGTTAACGGTGCCGTCGGAAAAAAAGGGGCCCACTATTCCTTCACGCCAAATCCCACACTGTCACCTTCGGTGAATGGAGATGCCGTTGGTCTACAGCATGAGGGTTATCGCGAGCCCATATCCTGCTGTTCTGGCGGTTCACACGTCCATCAAGGTGGAAGTTTTCTCCGTCACTAAATAAAAGAAATAGCAGGTGCCCCCATGTTGGTCTTAATTCGCAACAACTCCGCCTTGCAAAATTCTAAACGTCGGACGTTGCCGCAGAGGGCTTGGAAAACTTGCATCCTGTATGGGCACAAATTAATTTTCCGCTAAATCCGTCGTGCGCTTCTTTCCGAAACTCCAAAAAGCCTGGCTGCCCGTCTTGTTGACAATTGCGGGTCGCTCTCGAAAACAGCAAGCACCGCTTCAATGAGCTCCCCATTTTTTAGCAGGCTCTCACGTTCGCTGACTGGATTCTTCTTTTTGAAGTCGTTTCCGCTCGCAAAACGATCCGCGCCAGTCAAAATTGTCGGGCGTGAAGGCGGGCGTTTGTGAAATGCAGTGCAAAATTTTCGTGGTGCTCTGGCCATCGAGTTCCGCTCCACGTACCACTTCACTGCCTGGGCACATTCATTTGCCGAGAATTACGGCATCGCAGGGCGGCGCGGAAAATATTTTGATGATAACCGCAGCTAGCAGATAGTGTAACAAAAACAATAAATCAAGATGCCTCAGCAGCGGCACTCTTGATTCCAAAGTTGAGCTTTCACCGGGAACGGACCCGTCATCAAATAAGCAGACGACAAAGGAAGACACACGTTCGTCTGCTTTAGAATATATTTTTATTAAACGAGGGCGTCCGCCAGTTCCTAAACTTCAAGTAAAAGGGCATAGTCGTTCATATACTTCGTTAAAATTCCTTTTTATTGCAATTATCTTGCCCGACGCTAGCCTTTCGTGCGGCGTTTCCCGCGCTTTTGCTTTCAGTGCGCAACCTGGAAGCGGTGTCACGAACCAGATTGCAGACGGCGAACGGGCGGGTATATACTCCGTGCGGGAACTATAGGGGGCGCTTTGAAAAACGCGCGCAGCGCCGCTGGCGGAGGAGCTGGCGTTCGACAGTGAGGCGCGCTCAGCAGCCTGCGGCGCCTTTTCGCGTGCGAAGCTGTGGCGGCGGAAGCGCGCACGGACGGAACTTTTGCTTTTTGAGCCGATAAGTTGAGGGTAACGTTACATGAGTGCTGGGGCAGATTGAAGAAGGGCATTTAGCTGTTCTCCGCTTCTTATATATTGAGTTTGAGTCGTTTTTAGGGGTAATTTCTTTAGTTGCGGACGAAAAAGGGGTTTGAGCAATTTTCCGAAAAGCAAGACGGCCGCCACCATAATCGCTCTCAGTGGGAAATTTGTTTCGCTCGTCGCTGTAAATGTAGGACTGCTGAGACGATGATATTTGGAGGCGAGTGAGATGTTCGCTATGTTTGTGCGCTAAGTGGGCCAAGTTTTTTTAAGATAGTAAGTGTGAAAGTTATGGTTCGAACGAATAAAGGAATAAAGCTGTCAGGAATATCCAATATTGGATCCAAAATACTGTGTTATAACCGGGCTGTGCGAAGTGCAGATTTGGACACACAGGTTCTTGGACATGACCGTAACTTGACAAAACAGTTATAATACCAGAAATAGGTGGCCTAGGGAAACCAGGTGGACATTTGGTTTGGGCGGCGTAACTGAAGGGGAAACGGTTTTGACCGTGAAAGGGCTCTCAAGAGAATACCATGCGTCGTGGGAGATGAGGACTTTACAGGTAGGAAGGGACTAAGTGCACTGTACTTCCAATGGAAACAACTTTACGAAAGGTGGCTTCAAAGCCGAGAAAACCAAGTTGCCGGCCAACACACGGTTTGACTGTCAAAGGCTTTTGCGGTCAGCTGTTGTGAAGTAATCTGGTTGTGCGAGGTGCTGATTTTCGGCACACAGGTTTTTTGGCAACCGTAATGCCCGTGTCCCACTAGAGCGACAGACAGAAACAAACGACAGCGACAAGCCTCAAACCAGAGTCTTTCGCGATTTGAGAGGCTTTGTAGAATGAAGGAGGCTATGCTCCAACACGAGCATCATGCACGCGAGGGTATCTTTGGCAAACTTGCAATCGCTCGTGCTTACTTCACGAGCACCGAACGACTAAGAGCCTGCCAAAGGTACCATCGCGAGCATGCTGCATGGGTTTGAGGCTTGTGGCTGTCTTTTGTCTCTGTCTGTCGCTCTAGTGGGACACGGGCATAACTTGACAAAACATTTATTATACCTAAAAGAGGTGGCATAGTTTAACCAGGTGGAAACATTTTTGGGCGGCGTAACTAAATGGGAACCGGTTTTGACCGTCAAAGGCTGTCAAGAGTATACCACCCATCATGGTCGGGAGGTGCACACTTTACAGGTAGGAACAGTGCTTAAAGTCCACGTACATTGAGGGAGGTCCGTACAAGAAGGCAGGGGAAAGGGGGGGGGGGTTGATGAGATGTAATAGGTATACACATAAAATAAACCCCACTGCTGACTCTGTCCACGCTGTACCTCGAACCCTCAACCCCAAATGTCACATCCCTGAAAACAAGCTATCTTATAGCAAGATATGACTTTGATTTCACTAATGCTGGGGCTGTAGAGGAGGGTCTCAGACCATCCGTTAAGATCAGTGGGGGGGTTGAGACCCCTTGAGACCCCCCAAACTGTAAGCCCCGGGTAGGAGGCGACCAGTGGACGGTACTTCCAGTTCGAATAACTTTGCGATAAATGGCTCTAAAGCCGAGAACAAAAATTGTTTTCTACAAGACTCGGGGTGTTAGCGTTTCCACATCCAAAAGGAGGCTGATCAAAAAAGAAAGCACACCACATAAACTTTCATACTCAAACATTAATTGTCCAGTGATTCCAAGTTTCATTGTAGTTTTCCTTGGATTCATATTTGTCAATTTTTGTACCGTCCGAATCTTTCTTCATGAAGTACAGACCGCGTGCCCTACTGGTCCGGAAAAATCATCGACACGTACAATAGGGACGAAACGTCTTTCGAGGGCATTCCTTCAACGAAATTCGCACTGCATACCCGCGAGTGTGGGATGGCATTTCAGCTCGAGCTGAGATATGTATGCGTTACTGGTACGAAAACAAACGCAGAGCGCAAAGCGGCAGTGTAGAATATGTCAGCCATGCCGACACAGTGGCAGACATGATCGGGAGACCAAATTTATCGCGTCGTACGGCACGGGTCCATCGTTGTCGCTGTCCCACAAAACATCGGCGAGGTGAAAAGCTGTGAAACTTCGTCCCCACGAGATACTACGCATAACTATTGGAGCGCTTAACGACGCAGCAGTTCATGCTCTCAACCCAGCGCAACCGCACCGCTCCGACTTCAATGCGTACCAATGTACGCGGCGTGGTTTCGTTTCGCCGGGGCTCTCACTGCCTACCCTCAGTAACGGCCGCGCGGCGGCGCGGCGGTCGCGTCGCACGGCGCGGCAGTCTCGAACGAAGCGATTTACGGCGCGCGTTCCTGGTTTTGAGAGTGTACGTCAGTGTTGCCCGACTGCGCTGGGCTGTGGATTTTTTCGTCAGTAGGCTGTGGCAGCCTGCGTAGGCGGAATTCCGGACGCTGGTAGCGGCTAAATTGACTCGTTTTATTTTTTGTTTGTGTTCTATGGCGAATAGAATTTCTCGAGGTTTTTAAGAAAGCATTCTACTATTTTTGGGAACAAAAACAAACAAATGAAAGCTATTTTTGGTGAGTCCGTACGCGACAGGACCTATGCAACTGGAATGTGTGTTTCATTTTATGTAGATTTTTTTATGGCACATACACTCAGCCGTGTCAATCTACAAAGGTCTTAACTGCCGAAAATATTTGAACACACCACAAGATAACCGAACTGCATCGGTATTCCCCGCTCACAACATGGAATTCAACGAGTCTCATCAATCGAACAACTTATCTTGTACGTACCCCACGGTGCCGCGTTATCCGAACAGGATTTGAGAAAGGTCTCCAATAACACAGCACATCCAATATACAGCGTCGACGATAGTCACTTCACGACGATCGGACGGAATATCCGGTTTGTATTGGGACCCGTCTTGAAGGCAGTGCTTTTTTTACACAGCACAAAAAGAAATTGAACGAACGTGCTTACTTTGTCCCCCTACCCCGGACCCTATCTGCTATTTCTCGCCAAGACCGGGAACATAGCCTGGAATGCTTTTAGGAGATTATCTCCACGGAAATAATCCTCGAAGAACGTCGAACTGCCTGCGTCGCGGGCTGCTTGACGTTCGCTCTCTTCGTTCGTTTCCTGCGAAGGCCGAGCAGGCTACGAGCCCTGGTATTCATTGGTTCTCACAGTGGAAGACAACACAAAATACGTAATCATCCTAAACATGCGAATAAAGTAAAACATTTCAAGGAAAGCCGGCGAACTCTGAATGCACACTGTAGGTGGGGAGTCGCGCTGACCGGGTTTCCACAGCTCAGGCAGGTGGCAGAAATTTCTGGTTGATAGGGGTCGCTCGAGTCGCAAAATGGCGGCGGCCAGAGAGCTCTTTTTGGAAAGGTCTTGGCCGTAGGGAAGGTACGTCTGCCATTTGTGTTATCTTTCTAATAATTCGCTACTCCCGTGTTGAGGTCTGAAAAAAATGGGCAAAAAACTATGGAATAAACGACGGCCGTGTGTCCAATTTCAGGTACGAACGTTTGAAATTCTATTTTTGCTAGGCGTTCCACATATGAAAGTTTTTACGCCGCAGCCTGTACGTGAGTGCTTCGACAGTGTGATGTGGGCCCGCCTTTGGGATATGGCGAGCTAGATCATGCTGTGTATAACGCAGCATGAACTGCTAGCGTGGAATCTTTATCGTGTATCATGCTGCAACACTCCCGTAATGGCACTGTGCAACGACGCACATCTAGTTTGAAAGGAGCGGGAGATGGGATTGAACCAAATTTTTCTGGATACTGCAGTGCGATGTTTCGCCGCATGCACTCCAAGTGGAGGTGCGACAACACACATGTCGGTCAAAAAGCAACAGAAAGATTTTTTTTTTTTTTGTAAGAGCAACAATAATTATTATAAATTATTCCACCACTTGACGATTCTCTCTTGCGTCGCCGTAGTACACCACGAAGCACAAGAGTCACCAAGGGTAACGAAGACTGTGGCTACGACGCTTGGCTTACGGACGCAGAAAGGGAACAAACACTGATTCTTGGTTTTCACGCACGGCACGTGGCGGAGGTTCATCGTGTGGCGCACTTGCGCCGATGTCTGTCTCGATTCGTAAAGTCCAGCGTCGCGGAGATAAAGTCCAAGGCAACGCCGTCGGCCCAAGACCTCGGCAGACAGGAAGAGGTCGGTGACGTTCCTCCGAATCCACCGATGAAACCGCAGTGGCCGCCCTTTTCGGTGAGCAGCAGAAGCAGCTGAGGATCGCTCTGCAAAGGGAGAAATAAAAAGAGGTTGGTTTAAAGCCAAGTCGAAAGTTCGTGCGGATGTTTAGTCAGTCTTAATTTAGTCTACTATCCACTCGAAAAGTCTGGAGCTTTCCGCAAAGTACTTGGAAGACCAATCGCAGCAACCTTTGTTTGGTTCCCCCAAGTGCCGTCTCATAAACATGCCCCAAGTGCAGCGAAATGCGCTGGGAAGACCTCTGCTTACCGCTACTTTCCTTTACAAAAACTGCTTCCAGTCTTTACACCTTGCGTTCTACACGCTAAAGTGTGCAGGATTTGTTGTACGTGTCTACTGCCACCGAGTGTTGCTTTCGCAGTGTAATTCAGCACTAACCGGGCCAATGAACGGTCCGAATCGTCCAAGGTGTACAAAGCGGCGGATGTCTTTGTGAATGTACACCTGGAGGCTTTAATACAGAGTCTCTAAGGAAAAACCTCGTACCATGCGGGGCTTGGAACACCAACCTGAAAAAGGAGGAGGCCGCTCAGGCTCTAAAGATGTAAGGGTATCACCGCAAATCATGCCTGTGAAAAGTGCTTTATACTTGAAGTTATTTCGCACCATATCAACGAGGCTTACGTGCTCGTTTGCCTTAGTCTTGTTTTGCTGCAAAAAGTATTATTTAACTGCGTGTTCAATGGAGACGTTAAAACGCTGTTTTTCGGCTCGCATAAAAAAATTAAGTATCGCTAAAAGGTAAATCTTCGTGTGAATGTGACGCTAGTGGAGGCAATAGAACGTGTACGGTCTCTGAAACAGAGAATAAAAATAAACAATATGTCTCTCTACAAAATGTCGATATAGTTGTATTTTAGTAAAAATGTCTCTCAGCACGGATAAAAAATACTCTTTCCTGCTCGGAATATTTATTCCTGAATTAAATGCTCCAGGTACCCACAATTCCATTTCGTGGTGTTACAAATATGATGCCTAGAGGAACGTCGGCTCCTACATAATTTTTGTTTCTCGCTCATCTTTCAATTCAGGTAATGTCGTGTCCGCAGATTTTCGCATTCCATGACCACCACTATAGTCGATGACAAGTTAAGAACTCGGGAAGCTCTTCGCACTTTCCACATTAGCACAGCGAAAGGTGGAAAGGAGGTTTCCTTCTTTCCAGCGTTCACTCCGCTAATGCGGAAAGATGTGCTGCTCTGTCCGTCCCTATGTTTATTCTTTCTGTTTTTATTTACCTTTACCAACGCGCTGACGTTGAACTAAGGTTGAAGGAGCGTCCCCTGAACTTTTACCGATTGCCCACAAGAGCGTTACTTTGGTACGGAGCTTTAGCTTTCTGCGACGCGTAATTTACATATACGCGTCGAGAAAAACAAGTTATTTTTTTTTTCAGTCGGATGTTGTACTTTTAATTTATTGCACCTTAAGTTCGGAAGGAGCCGTCGCTACAAGTTGAATGGACTAATCGTACAACACAAAGAACGCACCAACGTGGTGTTCGTCCTATTTCTCTACGCCATATCATTGCTGAACCAACGATCTACAGGGAAGGCCCGGTGTTTTGTGTTTTTGGCACTTTTGTTTGTCCCGATCAACTTTTAGCGTCGGCTGCGCTGGCGCGTAAGCTGGTATGAAGTATAGCGTGAGTGATTCTGCGTAAACCTTACAATCGTCGATACGACATACTTTTCGACGGCGGTTAGCCGACATAGATGAGCCTACGGGTGTTTTCGAAAGATTAGGAATAATAACGGTGTTTATTTATTTTTTTGTCGTTGTCGCTTCTACACCATTTCTTAGCTCAAAATGGGCAACTGGGGCTGACCGTCTCGATTAACTTCCCCGCGTTCTCTTGCTGCCCTTAATCTCTGAGCGTAATCCCCGTCGGCTCCCTTAGTGTCCCAAGTTTACCGCCGTCTGTCGGCTCAGGAAGAATCCGTCGACTCGACTGCCACCGGGAATCGACTGAGCTGCGTTTACACGAAGAGTCGGCAAATGAGGCTCTCGCAGATCCCTTAAGAAGTTAAGACTCCCAGCGAAGTGTCGGTTGCACTCCGACGCACGGAAGTCGATGCGCGTCAAATCCTCTAGATAGGTCGGCTGACGTCGGTGTTCGTTCAAACGGGGTCCTGCGTTCGTCATCTTAGGAAATCTGACAACACCGGACGAGCTTTGCGCGTTGGTGGCCATATGTGGCCCGCTATTTCAGCCGATCGATGGTGTGTGATCCTCGTCGACACCGCATAGCTAATTTAAAGGGAAAAATGTCTCCATCCAGTTTCTCCGCTAACATTAGCGAAGGAATTTGTTCGTTAAATTTACTGAAAAGTTACTTCGTGCATATCTACGTTCAATCTAGCAGAAATGTTTCCCCGCTAGATGTAGCGGAAACACAATTTGCGCGAAATTCAGTCTCACAGGAATGGTGCCCTTGTGACAGTAGGGAGTTTTAGGGAACAGTCTCTGCACACCCGATGCGGTACGATGGGCCGTCCCATATGAGCTGCGTATGGGAGAGTCTTCTGCGGTAGCGCATGCGCAGTTCGTACCGGGAGGCCCGTCGTATTATACCGATTGTGTGAAAATGGTTCCCTAAAACTCCCTAGTGTAAAGTCGACTGACTCCGTGACGTCAAGTGACACCACGTGACACATATGGTGGCAACCTGCTTCTCGCTAAAGGGGAATATTTTTTTTTGTGTGTTTCAGATTTTACCTTTTTGAACTGTGCTAATGTATGATGCGACGGAAGACCCCAGGGCTATTGTCGCCTCTTTGTATTCAGGATAAAGCAATGAGTCCATTAATCCTTTATTAATGCTTGTTGGAGTTGCTAGTGTCGCTCTTTCACCCGAGCGCCAAAAATGCACGTCTTTGGAGGACGCTGAGTGTTGCATGGCAGGAACCGAGCGAATGCCGTTTGAGTAAAGTGTTCGGCGCCAGTAAACAGCGCCGGGCGTAAAGTACCGTATTTTCCGGACTATAGTCCGCACCCGGTGTATAGTCCTCAGGGGGAAATTTGGGGTCAAAAATAAAAGATTTTGCTTCGATAGCCCGCACCTGGTGCATAGCCCGCACCTGGTGCATAGCCCGCACGCTGTGCATAGTCTGCACCTGGTGCTTAGTCGACACGAAAATCTTCTCATAGACGGCACACGTTTACAAATGTCTGCTTTTTAGCTCGCAATAAAGCCTATAATGTGCGTAGATCATCATTAACATACACTTTATGCACAAAATTTGTCACGTCATAATAAACGATCTTGAAAAACATAATTCCTGTATAGTCCGCACGCGTAGATAGTCCGCACAGCCAGAAATTGCAACTTTTAGACATGTATAGTCCGCGGACTATAGCCCGGAAAATACGGTAGTTCCTATCCGCAGTCGCTTGCTACCCATCCATAACGGGATCCGGAACCCATCGGGAACCATAAATTGCTCCGCACTATAAAAACAACAAAGCAAGAAAACAAACAAAGTTCGCATTCTCTCTCTTGCTGCTGCCAAAGTACCAAATGCCCCCCCTCCCCCCCCCCCCCCCCCTTTTAGAAACAAAACGAAACAAAGCCGTACAGTGTTTTTTTTTTTACCGCAAAATTAAACGAAGCATAGCCGAACGCTCATTCTTCTGCCAAATATATAGTGCTAGCGGCGCATACCACACGGCAAAATTTAGAACTATCTGTTATCCTATCAGAACTCATACCTCCATACGTTATTTTCTAAAAGAAACAAGTCCATGGGAAAATAGGGCCCGTTTTTTTTCAAACTGGCTGAATTCAGCTCTAGGCATTCGGGAACTGAGTCGGCTGCCATTTTCCCATTGCAATTATCGAAATTTAACTTATAAAGTTCGAAAAATATAACGGTTAGGTCTGAAACTTTGTCGCCCGGTTCGGACTGCCAGCGCTATACATTTGGGCGAAGATTGAACGTTGGGGCATGCGTACAAAGGCGGGGAGCTGGACTAGTTGGTACGAAGACACGTGGAGCGTAATAGAGCAAAAGCGACCAGGACAAAGGAAAGGAACTGGGAAAGCACCCAAGGGCCTTTTTTTTTGTCGGTGAGGGATGCATAGTTTTGTTTTTCGGTTAAGTAAACCTGATCCAAAGTGTTAATAAGCAATGCTTCACCGAAAGAGTATCAGGCGTAGAAAGAATTTTTAGCAGCAGCGGAGGCTTTATTCGACGTTCCGATTAGAGCCTGCTCTTTTTTCGAGCGTAATTTTTTGGGGGACGCCCTGTAGATGCAATGTCCATTGCCCCTTTGCAGGCGTCTGTCGAGCTCGACCCTCTCGGTCTGCCTCAGCGCCGCGTTGTTTTCGCGCCAATTCTTCAGAAATTGAATTGGTGCACGATGGGCCGTTCTAAAAAGTGCGCCTCACTTCGTACTTACTACGCTAATCATCAGAGTCCACCCGTGGACTACGAGAATTTTGGCGCGCGAAGCTTTCCTACGGCTAAGATAAAACAGCGCACAAAACGTCGAAGGAAGAGAAAAATAATTTTCTTTTCAACCGACGTTTTGTGCGCTGTTTAATCTTAGTGATGTACCAACTAGCTCGAATTATCACTTTACTAGAAAATGCGTGTAGCGCAACTTCTCCAGAGGGGGGCGAGTTCGGGGCCAGATCAGCATAGCAAAGGTAAAATGTGTGCTCACGGCAAAGAGCGTCATAGAAAACAATGAGAAAAACAAACACCCTGTCAAAGTTAGGGCACGAGCGGTGTGGCAGCTGAACTCGAGTCTGAAGTGCTGGCGCACATCGGCTTGGCGGGCTTTTGATTCAGTTTCTACGAAGCCGGCCTCGCAGGTCATAGGAAACACGGTAGGTGCAGCTCTGGTGGTACGTTCATTTTATTGTTGCTATCTTGTGTTGCGTTGTATTGGTAGACGAGACCTCTCCGTTTTGTTTCGATTTCTGCATCGTTTCTCCCGCTCAGTCTCATAAAAAAACGGTATTTTTGGGTCAGAAACGTTATTGAGGCTCGTAACTGATTCGTCCCCATTTTTTATTCAA